AGCACAAGGAGATAAATGAGACTGAAACAGTAGTAGGAAATAATATTGCCATGGAGGGGAGAAACCAAAGGCAATATTAAATATCAACTGCCATTGTCACCCCCAATTTTATCCCAGCCTTTAAGTTAATGAATTTTACATATTATTACTTGAACTTCTGGCTTTCCAAAATTAGTTCCAATTACGTTGTTGTGACCTGAGCCACTTTCTGCATAACTGAGTCATGGATGCATACAGCCCCCAGGAGAGCCCACCTACCTGTGTTTCCAAGCCTAGCAAGTCTCTCTGCCTACAGCAGAGAGCATCCATACTGGACTCATATCTCTTTCTGATGTTGCCTAAGGTTTGTTCTGTGTTTGGAAGGTCGGTCAGCAAATGGCCTGGTTTGGCAGGCCACTGAAACTGACAGGGGATTGCGAAAAGGGCTCTCATCTCTCTCTGGTCTCCTCTGTGAAGCAGGTTTAGGTGAAGACCCTTAGGCCAGTGGCCAAGAAGAGGTGTCTTTGTATACCTGAAGGTGGTGCTGGGAGGAAGCAGTGGAAAGGAGAGCTTGGGAAGAGAGAGACAGACTGCTGAGTGACCCTGGAGAGCCAGACTGGGGACCAGAGCAGAGAGAGGCAAAAGTGGCTTCCCTAAGACCAAAGACCACAGAGGTCATGTGTTGGAAACTTAATGGTCTGAACATGCTCTGTCATGCAGGCTGGAGTACACTGGTGCAATCTTGGCTCATTGCAATCTCTACCTCCCAGGTTCAAGCTATTCTCCTGCCTCAGCCTCCCAAGTAGCTGCGACTACAAGCGTGAGCCACCATATCTGGCTAATTTTTGTATTTTTTAGTAGAGACTGGGTTTTGCCACATTGGTCAGGTTGGTCTCGAACTCCTGACCTTAGGTGATCTGCCTGCCTTGGCCTCTCAAGGTGCTGGGATTACAGGCAGGAGCTACCATGCCTGGCCCAAAGACATTCATTCATTCATTCATTCATTCCACAAATACTGATGAAGCATTTATTATGAACGAATATCTGAGCCAGGTCTCCCAACTGCATAGCTGAGTAAAACCCTGTCCCTACTGGCAGGGAGCTGAGAGTTGAGCACTTGACAAGTGCCGGCATGAGGGAAGCTGAAGAAAAACCTGTGTAGGAAGGAGGGGAGAACCTTATATAGAAGGTGTCCAAGTTGAGTGGGAGGTGAGAGGTGGTGTCTCACATGTATAATCTCAGTGCTTTGGGATACCCAGGTGGGAGGATCACTTGAGGCCAGGAGTTTGATACTAGCCTGGGTAACATAGTGAGACCCCCATCTCTACAAAAAATTAAAAAAATTAGCCAGGCATGGTAGCACTCCCCTGTAGTCCCAGCTACTTGGGGGGCTGAGGAAGGAGGATCACTTGAGCTCAGGAATCCGAGGCTGCAATGAGCTATGATCACAGCACTGTGCTCCGGCCTGAGTGACACAGTGAGAATCCACCTCAAGAAAAAAAAATGTCGAGGCCAGGCACAGTGGCTCATGCTTGTAATTCCAGCACTTTGGGAGGCAGAGGTGGGCAGATCACCTGAAGTCAGGAGTTCAAGACCAGTCTGGTCAACATGGTGAAACTCCGTCTCTACTAAAAACACAAAAATTAGCTAGGTGTGGTGGCACGCGCCTGTAATCCTAGTTACTTGGGAGGCTGAGGCAGGAGAATCACTTGAACCTGGGAGGCGGAGGTTGTAGTGAGCCAACATTGTTCCACTGCACTCCAGCCTGAGTGACAGAGTGAAACTCCATCTCAAAAGACCAAAAAAATTGAGTGGGCCTAGGCAGGTGAACCAGAAGAGGCTGGAGGGGAAGGCAGATGCAACTGGGAAGGGCCCTGGATGCTGCGGTGAGGAGCTGGGCCGTACCTGGGGGTGAAGGAAAGCCTCATGCTGTGTAGTCAGTTATACTCCCCTCTTGCTGGTAGATGCAGAATAAACCAGAACAGGCAAGAGCAGAGCGGGGAGCACAGTGCCGAGCTGCTTCTAGGACCCAGATGAGATAGTGGGAGGCCTGAAGAAGCGGACAGACTATAGAGACATGAAATAACCAAGCGCCATCAGGCTAGCGAGCTTCTGCTGGAGACAGAGCCACTGGATTCTAGTGCCTGATGTCACTGAGAGTGGAAAAAGGGAACTAACCCTCCTGTTCTGTCTCATGCCTACCAAGCAACCTCCTGACTATAATTGGGCTTCCCATGTAGCTCTGCGTATGGGAAGAGACTGCACTGCTGGGGTGGAGGCCAGCGCTGTGGTCTTGCTCTAAATCAATTAACTGCCATTCTGGTTATAGCTATCTGTCTCAGGAAGTTGGAATACTTGGAGACACAGACCAGCCCTTGGTTTGCCAATGACTCTGTTCCTGAGGTTGAGGGGCTGCAGTCCTGAGTGGGCAGGGGGCTGGGTCATCATGGATATGATGTCACCCTGTAGGGCCCTTGGGGGGTGGTCAACAGCCTTCTCCCAAGGGTGCCCTGTTAGAGCTCATGCCTGTAATCTAAGCTCTTTGGGGTTCCATGGCAAGGAGATCATTTGAGGCCAGGAGTTCAAGCCCAGCCTGGCACAACACAGTGAGACCCCATTTCTACAAAAAATTAAAAAAATTAGCTGGACACGGTGGCATGTGCCTGTAGTCCCAGCTTCTGAGGAGGCAGAGGCAGGAAGACTGCTTAAGCCTAGGAGGTCGAGGCTATAGTGAGCCATGATCGCAGCACTGCACTGCAGCCTGAGTGACAGAGCAAGACACTGTCTCTCAAAAATAATAATAATAAATAGAAAATATTAGAGCTGTGGGTCTTGTTGATATCTGGAGGTGCTATGTCCTACAATGGGAAAATCCCGGAACTGCATACCACTCAGGAATGTGGTTGACAAGAACGAATAACTCACGGAAGTCATGGACATGACATTCACATCATTTAACATTAGACATAGTTGGCTGCAGTAGCTCATGCCTGTAATCCCAGCACTTTGGGAGGCCAAGGAGGGTGAATCACTTGGGTCAGGAACTTGACACCAGCCTGGCCAATGTGGTGGAACCCCGTCTCTAATAAAAATACAAAATTAGCTGGGCATGGTGGTCAGTACCTATAATCCCAGCTACTTGGAAGGCTGAGGCATGAGAATCACCCAAACCCAGGAGGCAGAGGTTGCAGTGAGCCAAGATTGTGGTACTGCACTCCAGCCTGAGGAACAGAGTGAAACTCTGTCTCCACTGCCGCCCCAACCCCCCAAAAAGAAGAAAATACAAAAGGATCTTTTGTACTTTTCTTTTCTTTTCTTTCTTTCTTTTTTTTTTTTTGAGACGGAGTTTCGCTCTTGTTACCCAGGCTGGAGTGCAACGGTGTGATCTCGGCTCACCGCAACCTCCGCCCCCTGGGTTCAGGCAATTCTCCTGCCTCAGCCTCCTGAGTAGCTGGGACTACAGGCATGCACCACCATGCACAGCTAATTTTTGGTATTTTTAGTAAAGACGGGGTTTCACCATGTTGACCAGGATGGTCTCGATCTGTTGACCTCGTGATCCACCCGCTTCGGCCTCCCAAAGTGCTGGGATTACAGGCTTGAACCACCGCGCCCGGCCCGGATCTTTTGTACTTTTCACAAGTAAATGCAAACATACGTAATCCTCAAAGATGAAAAGAAGAGCATCAGAATGTTTCTTTTTTAATGAATACTTGCTACTGGATCAGGCCACCTGTCTCCCACTAACCCATAACAAATAATAAATATATTTAAACTCTTGAAGTGTTTGGTGAAAGTCAGCCCTGGTGGCTGCGTATGGTGACTCACGCCTGTAATCCCAGCACTTCTGGAGGCCGAGGCGGGTGGACCACTTTAGGTCAGGAGTTTGAACTCAAGCGACTGAACACCTGGCCAAGATGGTGAAACCCCATCTCTGCTGAAAACACAAAAATTAGCCAGGCGTGGTGGCACACGCCTATAATCCCAGCTACTCAGGAGGCTGGGGAGAATCACTTGAATCCAGGAGGCAGAGGTGGAGCCGAGATGGTGCCACTGTGCTCCAGCCTGGTCAAAAGAGCAAGACTTTGTCTCAGAAAGAGAAAGTAAAGATCTAAATGAAAGATCTGAAAGGAAAAATGATGACAAAGAGAAGAATCAGAACAGTTGTCAAAATCGAAATCTGTTAAGTTACTGGTAACCTGTGTCCGCCTAGAACACAATGTTTCTCTTAAAAGGCCCATGGTAGCTGCTGCCACAAAGATAAAGGAGGTGGGTGGGCTACTGCCTTAGAGCGCCATCAGAAGCTGAGGTGTGACCTCCGGAAATGAAGTGTCTTCATTCTGTGTGTGCACGTGTGTCACATGTATGACTGGCGGCAAAAGATGGGACTAAATCCATTATTCTCTCCTGAGTCTGAAGAACTTAATCCACCTTGCCAGAGGAAAACTGGTGATGGCCCGTGAACTGTACACTAAAGCCACATCCCAGGATTTTCTGGGTCATCGCTGATCAAGATGGGTGGGAAGCTTGGCTCTTAAAGATCATCTGCCCTTGAGCAAGGGCCTGCTTCCCAGAGAAGTGAGAAAAGATGTCCCTGGCATCTTGCCTTCTCCCAAGGCACATGCAAGTCACATTCACACCCACCTGTACCACCCGGTCTCCTTCCCCACTAAACCCCTCCCACCACCTCCAGAACCCCGCGACTGTGCGAGCAGCTATGACACACACTGAGTACTTAGGCTGGGGGCTGCTCTCCATGTCTTGCAGGCCTTTCTCATTTAATCCTCAAAGCCATCCTGCAAGACAGCTACTACTACTCTTCCTGTTTTACAGACAAGGAAATCCAGACACAGGAATATCAGGTAGCCAGGCGTGCAGCCTGAGTCCAAGAGCTGGGCTCAGAACCCCAGCCTAGTCCTCTCTCCCTTTTTGCCACATTGCATAGGGATGGGAGAAGGATCTGGAAATGCCGTCTCTAGACTTGCCCTTCCTCCCTGAAACTCGTGGCCCGGAGCCTCTACCTGCGTGGATGAACTTGTCTGCCAACCTCTTCCGAGCGGGCTTGCTGAGGTTGAAGTAGTCGTCGTCATCCTCATCGATGCTTTTCAGGAACAGTGGGATGTGCTGGAAGACGATGGCGTGCTGGCAGTTCCGCTGCCTCGCGATGTTCAGCTGCTCATCCAGCCACTGGTCCTGTGCCTGCTTCAGGCCAGGACATTTGGAGGGGTTCTCGTAGAACTGGGAGTTGAGGACCAGGAACAGCACACCTCCGACCCAGAAGCTAAAGTAGTCATCTCCCCAAGTCTGGCAGAACTCCTCAATGGTCTCGGATGTGGGGACATTGCCAATGTCGTGGTTGCCGCTGACAAGGACCAGTGGGATGGCCCTGTCCACGGTCTTGAGCACTCGCTGCAGGTCCTCTGTCTGCTCCTTCCGCCACGGCTTCCCTGGAAGAGCGAGGGTCATGTCCTGAGACAGCCAGAGGCTTACTAACTTAATAACTAACTTAAGTACTTACTAACATAAAATTAAGAGAGAACAATCTAGAAATTAACTCCGTCTGCCACAGGGAAACTGCAGTCATGTGCTAAAAGCAAATCAACAAGTCCACTGGGGGCCTCTGCCCATCCTTCTTCAGGACACCTTAGTGATTCAATGTCTACACGGCCCCCTGCCCCAGGTTGCTGAGTTGATGGTGTGAAGTCAATCCTGAGATTAAATATTAGTGTGCTGGGTGCAGTGACTCACACCTATAATCCTAGCACTTTGGGAGGCTGAGGTGGGAGGGATCACTTGAGCCGAAGAGTTCCAAGACAAACCTGGGCACTATCATGAAATCCTGTCTTCATAAAATGAAAATTAGGCCAGATCTTTCCTTGCCTCTCTCCCTTCCTTCCCTCTTTTCCTTCCTTTTTCCAAGTTTACATACAATTTTCATTGAAAAAAAAAAGAGTGCAAAGGTTTTAGCCCTATGGATCTAGGGCTTAAAGTTTGAGGAAGCCAGCCAAGTGGCTGGAATGAACGTTTGGACTGGGAGCCCCAGGACAAGGTTGAACCAGCTCAGACCAGCCATGAGGCCAGCATGGACTGCAGACAAATGAGGACTCACAGTCCCTGGAGCAAGCAGGACATACTTCTACCGGAGGCTGAGCAGGCTGGACATCAGACCCCAGCTCCTGCTGCAGCCATCAGCCAGCCTTTCCTGAGCCCATTCCACTGGTCCCAGAGATGGGAGGGGCTGCATGGCCTGAAGCCCAATGCAAGGAGCCTTGGGGAGAAGCAGGTTCTGCCTGTACCAGGGACCAGGAAGCCTCTCTCTCAGGGGTGCTGGGGGTTCATTCACCCACTGTCCACATCGAAGGTGCCATTGATTGACATTACTTCTTTAGCCGAACTGGGACTGCAGACATCTGTGTTGACTTATATATGATCCTCTCTAAGACGCTACTGGTTGGTTCTTTTCCCATGCTAGTTAAGGAAAAACAAGTCCTTTGTGGCTTTGAACATAGCAAACTCTCTCAGAGACCCTTGTGGCCCAAGGCTGATTCATCACCACTTTCCTCACCGGGTTTTCTTAAAGACCTCCAAGGCGCCCTTCTCACTTCTTCTTTCTGTTCACACTGACTTGGGGATTTTGGGATATTCAATCACTGACAATACTTCCTAGCACTTCCTACAGGCCACACACTGATTGCAGAGCTGTGTGTGCACCAACTCGCTTTCTCTGACACCCAGTGGAGTAACGGGGATTTGAACTTGGTGGGCTAGCTCAGGGTGCTGTCTATACTGTCCTCGTCACAAACTAAGGTCCTTGCTGCCTGGGTGACTTCTCTTGGCTGCCCTGAGGCACAGGATGAGGACTTCATAATACCCTGGGGTGCAGAACATCTCCTGTTCCTGATTTTCAAGGGCATTGGTCATGGCCTTTTGCATGCTAATCAAGGTAGGTATGGAAAATGTCCAAAGACTTAATGACCATAAGCAGAAAAGTTAAGGAGCAGTTCAAAAGAAAGGCTTACTTTTCTTTTGAAGGGAAGGAAACTTCATCTAGGAAGCAACCAAGAAGGAAGAGCTGGGAATTACACACAGTAGCATGAAATTTGCTTCTAAACAAAGAGAGATGCTGCTTTTAGGGAAACCATCAATATCACCCAATAATCTGTTAAAAAAAAACCATGCAGCTCATCTTCCCTGAATTTCCTCCAGCAAAGATGAGCCTGGTGGCTGGGCGCAGTGATTCATGTCTGTAATCCCAGCACTTTGGGAGGCTGAGGCGGACAGATCACTTGAGGTCAAAAGTTCAAGACTAGCCTGGCCAATATGGTGAAACACCATCTCTACAAAAAGTAGAAAAATCAGCCAGGTGTGGCGGCACATGCCTGTTGTCCAGCTACTTGGGAGGACAAGGCAGGAGAATCACTTTAACCTGGGATGCGGAGGCTGCAGTGAGCTGAGATCCTGCCACTGCACTCCAGCCTGGGCAAGAGAGAGAGATTCTGTCTCAAAAAAAGTGTCTGTTTATTTATTGTTTAAAAAACGAAAAAAGATGAGCCTCTTTCTTGAGTAGCTTTTCCAACACTTTCTATACCTCTTGCATGGAGTCCCAAGTGCTGAGGTGGAGTGAGTGTGCCCTGGGGTTGGTCTCTTGCCCCTTACAAGCTGCATGGCTTGGGTACATCCCTTGGTTCCTCTGAGTCTTGGTTTCATTGTGTATGAAATGGGGATGATAATTCTCATACCTTGGGAATGGCTGTAAGAATTCATAGTAAGATAATGATGTCTAGAGTCTGGTACAAACAAGAATGCAAAGCTGTCAGCTGTCTGCTCTCCACATCCCACCCCCCAGATGTAATCAATTCTCCCGTATTTGTCAGTGACCTACTGTGTGTGCATAACAACCAGTTAATTGGGAAGAAATAAAAATCTTCCCAGGGACAGAAATAGTTTTTAGTACATAATTTAGAAATAAAAGAGTAAATCCTAGATTACAAAAAGCCAAATTTAATGTAAACATTTGCATGATCTTTAACAAGCTCTCATTTGCATATATCAGAATCTCTGTAGGGTTACAATATTAACGACAACTTAGTATTAAGAAAGATCACAGCACAACTTAGCAGAGCTTACTAAAAAATAGTCCCATTATGGCCAGACGCAGTGACTCACACCTATAATCCTAGCACTTTGGAAGGCCAAGGCGGGCAGATCACTTGAGGTCAGGAGTTCAAGACCAGCCTGGCTAACATGGCGAAACCCCTACCTCTACTAAAAATACAAAAATTAGCGGGGCGTGGTAGCACGTACCTGTAACCCCAGCTACTCAGGAGGCTGAGGCAGGAGAAATGCTTGGGCCCAGGAGGCAGAAGTTTCAGTGAGCCAAGATCGCGCCAATGCACTCTAGCCTGCGCAACAGTCCCACCGTATATGGGAACCCAAATCCAAAAGCCAACCTCACCAGCATCATGAACAGAAAAAATAGAAACCTTCCCAAGGACACAAAGCTTCAATGAGTTCTTGTCTCAAGCAGGGTTCTGTGCTCACAAAAAGAATGTGTATAAAGGATAGGAAGAAAGGTAGGGAAACAAGGGGAAAGAGTCTGAAAAATGTCAAGAAATGACTTAGAAGAGGGATAGAGAAGTATTGTTCTGGGTGGGTCTCCAAAGTGGATGATAGGTATCTGCCAAGAAGTGGGTGTCAAGAGTACAGGAACCCCAATGTCAGCACACACCTGACCCCCATGAAGAGAAACCTTGGGTAGGAATGGCAGGAGCGGTGTGGAAAGCTGTTAAATGTTTAAAACGCTTAAAAATTTTTTTTAAAGCAATCAGTTAAAATAAAACTAGGACCTCCTAGTTTTATTGGAGGTCCTAGTTCTATTTTAATTTAATGGTACACTCAAGGACATTAAAAAGCATTATAACGATAATTACAAAATTCTTACACCAGTGGTACCCTGAGAGGTATGATTTATTTTTGTCAGTATTCATTAAGGCAGACATTAGTATCTTGGTTGTTTTCCAAATAGCCTTAAAATACACTGTCTGATAAAATCGCTTTGTGAATTAGGAAAAGAAATAAACAACCTTAATTGGATAAACAATATCCATAAACAAGTATAGCGATCATCATACTTACTGGTGAAAGACTGACTGCCTTCTCCCTAACATCAGGAAGAAGAGGTCTGCTCTCACACTCTCACTGAACAACATACCAGAAATTCAGGTTAGTGCAATAGGCAGGAAGAAAGGAAGGAAGCAAAGAAGGGAAGGCAGGGAAGGAAGGAGGGGCATACAGATTAGAAAGAAATCAAACAGTCTATTCTCAGGAGACATAACTGTCTCCATAGTAAAATCCCAAATAATCTACAAAAAATAAAAATAAAATAAAACAAAACATCAAAGACTCCCAGCACTAATAAGAGAAATTAGCTTGGATGCAAAATAAATATATAAAAATCAATAGTATTTCTATATCCTAACAAAAAAAATTAGAGATTTAACAAGAAGGATTTAAGAGATACTCAGGAGGTAGAACTGACAAAAGTCCTCATTGTACTGGTTACAGGAAGAACTCAAAATTAATTCCCAAACATCTGAGCAACTGGGAGGCTGGTCATGTTTACTTACAGGGAAAAGACTAGGATAGAAACAGGTTACAGGTAGAAATCAAAAACTCATTCTGAATACAAAATCTGATGTATTGTTACAGGCAAATAAAGGGGAAAACAGACAAATTGGATCTCATGAAAAGTTAAAACTTTGTGCATCAAAAGACACTATCAGCAGAGAAAAAAATGCAAACCACAGAATGGGAGAAAATATTCTCAAATTAAATATCTGATAGGGAATTCGTATCGAAGTATATGGAGAACTCCTAAAACTCAACAACCACTAAAACAACCCAATTCAAAAGTGGACAAAGGATTGAATAGACATTTCTCCAAGAGGATATACAAATGGCCACTAAGGACATTGGAGTCATTGGAGAAACGCAAATCAAAACCAGGAGACACCACCTCATACCCATGAGGACAGCTAGTATCAAAGAGACAGAAAATAACAGGTATTGGTGAGGATGTGGAGAAGTTGGAAACCTTGTGCATTGTTGATGGGAATGAAAAATGGTGTAGCCACTGTGGAAAACAACATAGTGGTCCCCCCAAAATTAAACATAGAATTACCATATACTCCAATAATTCTCTATCTGGGTATGTTCCCAAAATAACTGAAAGCAGGGTCTCAAAGAGACATTTGGACACACACCTATGTTAACATTAGCATTATTCACAATAACTTAAACAGGGAAGCCACCCAAATCCCACTGACAGATGAATGGATAAGCAAACTGTGGTATATCCATACAACAGAATATTATTCAACCATAAAAAAGAAAGGCATTCTGACACACACTACAACATGGACAAACCTTTAGGATATATGCGAAGTGA